AATAAACAATAAAATAACTACTAAATACACAATAAATATAGTATTTTGTAATGTTCTCTTGATCGATTTGACATACATGGCATGTTGGTAATATGTGTGACATAACAGCTAAATTTTCAAAACACATTCTAGAGAACTCGGCATTACCAAAAATAGCATAGAAACACAACATATCGCAATAATCTCGTAATTTAAGGGGGTGAGCAGAAAGAAGCAGTTACTGTAAATAATAAAAAGGACAAGTTATATAATCAACCATCAGCAAAAAATGTACAGGACTGATTTGTATAACACTGGATCGTTATATAAAATGAAATTATATAATGTGACCCGAGGGAAAATTGTAATTGCATGTAATATGCGATATTTATATTTGGTCATAAGTCAACAAAAATGTGACCCCTGTCTATCAAACAAGATTTGTAAATAGATACCGAAGAGCACATTTAAAAACACTGCATCCCTGGAAGTGCCAGTATCCCCAAGTCAGCTGGAGTTTAGTTTTACCCTATTCCGACTAAGAATTTCAGTTCTTATTGTAGACATCACTATTAACGGTTTTGGGTTTCATTGGAGATTGAATTGAGATTGGAAAAAAATTAAACAATGTCTCAAATACATGCGGCTTTATATTATACACGCATTAAATATTAAAATTTAAATAATTCCTTATTATGTACTTTGTATTATCGGTAACATGACTAAGGTTATTTGATTCAAAGACAGATAAAAAAGCAAACATTATGTTACTATTTCCCTAAACAACATATCAGAAATTAAAACAACTAAGTAGGAGAAAGCTTTTATATCAAATCCTATAGTTTTTCTAGCTTAGATAATTGCTATTTGACGTCTCCAATCATATGACTAAATGTACATCTAATGGTTTCATAAGTTAAATGATTATTACATAACTACTGAGTGAAAGAGAAAATAGTTAAGGAATAAAAATTGTTTTATTCAACAACATTCTCCTATTGAGATTCTAGTAAAGTTTTTATACTATTGTTTTTGGCAATATTTGCTATCTTAGAAAGTGTTTCTTTTGCAATTAATTTCAGGTCTAAATGCATATTGACTGGACTAATATTGCTACCGTAACCGAACACATTGCTCGACATTATCTTCATAATTAATTTGACATATTGACTTGCCTATAACAGTGAACAATATGGTGTAAGTAGCATTCATACATGATGCAATGAGTGTTGATACTGTATCTAAAACCACTGTTACTAGATGACGCTTCAGTTCCTTAGGGTGAGGCACGTCTTGATCTTTCACTGACAAAAAAAAACATATTGTCAGATAAACCTGCATATTGATCATAGTTCTCTAGTAATCACATACGCATTGACCGTGTATACACAAGACACGGTAATGTGCCGAATCTTGTAAATGTGTTGACGTATACCATCTCAGACTGGGGGGGGGGGCTTTTTGCAAATATTTTCATCACCACACTACTGGCCTGAACGCAAAGACTTACAAATGAACTTATTTTCAATGGAATGAAAATCGAGTGAGACATTCTCGCTTATTTTGATTAAACAGTATCAACTGAAGACACATTAAGAAACCTCCATTTCGGGAGTTTGAAATCTGGGCGCCGTTTTAATACCTTACTTATGGCTTTTGCAATGGAAATTAATTCTTCTTGAGCATGAGTGTTATAAAGCAGTCTATATATATGTATGTCCAGGGAGGATGTTTTAAATGTACTCGGTTGGATTACAGATTTTCTGTAGCAAATTGGCAAAGGCTTTTAATGCAGTAGAATATGTGGCTTATTATAAAGATCATCAGCTCTGAATGCATTTGATAACATGTCATATGTTGAAGGTTCCAAGGATACGAGTGCAGAAGCGGATTTAGCGAACTCAAGTATGACAATTTCATCCTCAAAAGTATCCACATCATGGATCAAGTACAGTTTCGCCTTCTTGAAAATATTTGCTTTCAAGTGATTTGTGGCATTGTCTCATGAATAACCAACAATATAGTTTATATCAAAATCACTCAAATGTGGGTAAAACAATTCATGCTGAACCAGAGCATCTGTAGTTTGTGTTTTTACAGGTTTAATTAATATAACGTTTTGTTCTTCCGCATTCTGTTCCTGTTCTTTGGTCACATTCAGCACAGTACTGTAAACCTTGCATCTGTTTTTAGCTCTATTTATTACAAGTGTTATATGGAATCCATCCAATCCACAACTGCTGGTTTCCCATGAGTGATATACAAAGAGAATACCTGGAATACTTGTAGGAGGTTTCAGTTCATCTGCAACACATAATCTAGAAAAACATGCATGAAACAAGTTTCAAGAATAATTTATAATAAATAGTCAATAAAACACATATGTATTTAATTTATTAACGTATTTACATTGTGCATGGTGAAACTGAAAAAAATATAAATTACTCTAATCTAATAGCCTAAAGTTGTACCTTGGATGGATATAATGGATATAATGGATGGATATAACAACATGTAGAAATAATCTTCCAGGTGCAAACATCCTTGAATCGTCAGAGTTGGATAAAGCAAGTCTGAACTAACGTTCCCTGTTGGTGGGTACACTATCCAGTGTTTCACTACACTACAAGAAATAATAATTGATATACGTTCTGGCAGATTAAAGACATGTAGACAAAGATTTGAACTCACTACTCTGAAAGCAGACGCGCGCGTCAGTACGCAAAAGTCACCGAAATAAACAAAAAGTCGGTTACTACAAATAGCGTCTTAATGAACGCGCCCTCACATTGTTTAGATGAACATGTGTAAGATAAATTTATGACGTCACAGACAACGACATACATATAAAGCCTGGTGTTCGTGGTCAGTATGAACTACTCAGAGGTGAGTTTAATGATATTATAGGAGCAGCAAATTGTACCTGAACCAATTAAATATTGATGTGAGAAATTTGATCTTCTATCCAACATATAGCTAGGTTAAAAATTTCATCTCGGTTTTATGTTGTCGTGATCTTATTCAAGTAGTACTACAAAGAATGGATGATCTTGTTATGGTAAATTTAAAGGACTTGTTTCAGAGACACAAAGTACCATTATTCTCAATGCGCAAGAAGTACAAGCTATAAATATAGGTCAAACATTTGAATTTGGTGTCGCCGAACCAAGTATGACTACTAACGCATTTTATTACTCACATTAAGTTTGTCTGCTGTCATCATGGTATACAAGCCGACAAGAGATGAACATTCCACACATGCTCACCTGAAAATTGTGGAAATGTTTTTCAATGGAAAATCATTCAGCGAGATTGCAAAGCAGTTAGTGCTTAAAAATACACAGCGTAGGCTATTTGGCATAAGCTGATGTCTATTAACAATTTAACTGGCGATTCTATGAAGTTTCAATAATTGAGCTATACGTCGTACAGCACATTGAGTTGTACAAGAACTCTAAACAATAGATACATTCGAGAACAAATTCAAACTAAGCCAGTCGAGAAAAATGTACTGTGGACATGGTTTCAGGTATTGCGACCATAAACTAGGGTACCACACGCAAATCACGAGTGTTGTTACAGATTTAATGTCCGATCGAAACTGAAAATTACGTTCAAATTACAATGTTCAAAGAATCGTGAAAATTATATCACCGAGAAAAAGCCAGATAATGTGGAAATCAAAAGACATACAAATAATGCAAATTACACAGTAAACCTGACATCTGGTGCTTATTGGATTGACTGTGTGAATATGATTAATGGTTACCCAAATGGTTAAGACATGTTGGTGTTTTCGGTGACGCACGCATGCTCACGATGATTTACGGTACACGATTTTAGTAGATTCGGGATTTATATATCTTCGACAACTGGACAATTTACCAAGGTCGCCTCATGTAACCTGTTCATCGTGACGAGGCGAGTATCTTGCTTCATAATAATACATGAATTCAACTTTGAATAAATAGGCTCCATGTTTCTGTTCAGACAGAGCCTGAAAATGGGAGATTTTGGGAGGTCTTCGTTCATATGT